GGGGGGGTCCAGCGGCTTTGCTGGACCCCCTCCCCCCCCCAGCAGACCAGGGAGACCGGGAGAAGCTTTTCTCGCCCCGGAGGACACGGGTGGCGATCCGCTGCCTGTGAGCTCCGGGGCGAGAAAAGCCCCATTCGTAAGTGCGGATCCGACATAAGTGCGGATCCGACGTAAGTCGGGGACTGCCTGTATGTTTCACCTGCATAGCTGAACCTTTTCAACTTCTGTGAGATCCAGGAAGTCTAGCAGCCTCACTAAGGTTTCTCAAACTCTCTGGTGCTCTGTGGCTTCACATTTTGTATTTATAGAATATATGGCATGCCTTTGAAAACCTTACGCACTGTGAAATCTAAAGGTCACATGAAAGCACAAGAAAGCTGCTTTACCAAATGTGATACAGTGGTACAGCTGAAATTGGTGCAGCTGTGCCAATGTAGCCCTTCTAGTGTGGATTAGCCCACTGTGATTAGACTTCCTGATGGTTTTTTTCCCCAAAATGTCAATACTTGTTTTAAAAGTTTGTATATAGCTTTGTTTTTAACTGATCAATAACAGTTTATTACTCTTACTGTAAGGCAGTGGTCTCCAACCTTTTTTTGTGCGAGATCACTTTCTGCATTTAAATGCAATCCAAGATCTACCTCAGATCCCCTTGCCCCACCTCCTTCGTGCCCTTCTCCAAGGTTCCACCACTGCTCACTCCATCCTCACCCTCACTCACCTTCACCAGGCAGGGGCGGCATGTTGGGGTGCAGGCTCTGACCTTGGATTAAGGGATTTGGAGTGGGAGAAGGACTCTGAGCTGAGCTTGGGGCTGGCAGTTGGGGTGTTGGAGGGGGTTCTAGGTTCAGGAACTGAGAGGGCATTTGGATGCAGGGCTGTTCAGGGCTAGAGGTGCAGGAGGGGCGGTTCATGACTGGGGTGGGCACCAGCTGGGCACTGCTTACCTCAAGTGACTCCTGGGTGCAGTGGAGCTAAAGCAGGTTCACCTCTGTCCTGTCCCTGCACCACTTCCAAAAGCAGCCAGCAAATCCCATTTCAAGTCCTGGAGATAGGATACAGGGTGGGAGAGGGGGAACCTCTCCTCCCCCACCTGCCCCACAGAAAATAGGATGCTCCTGATGGAACAATTCCAAGGCAAAGGGCAGGAGATGAGCAGCAGCGGGGGGAGCGGCAGCTGAAGTGCCAGCACTTGACAGCCTCTTGGCCAAACCAGTCAGGATCCCCTGTCAGAGGCTCCAAGATCTACCAGTAGATCCCGAGCTACTGGTTGGTGACCACTGCTGTAAGGTAACTAATTATGTAAAAATGAACATACATCATATGGGAGCAGGATAATCCTCTTTGGCACTAATGAAACTTAAGCATGTATTTCACAGTATAGTCTGCTACCATGTAGTATATACAATCATTTTTCACTCTCTGAAAATGTGTGTACTTGGTATGGCATGAAAGTAAACTCTACTTACACAATTGCCTACATATAGATTAAAGTCTGTTAAATTACTAGTAAAGTAATAACATATTTAAGATCTGTATCTTTTTAAGATCTATGTCAGTAATGGGCTGAGAATATTTGGCAAACAATAGCATTCTAAATTTTAAATGGTAGTTGATATGCAGGTGTGGGTTGTTTTTTTTAATGTTTCAGGGGTTCCTGCCTCACTTAGTTGGTGCTGGAATGCAGGGGATGCAGTTGCATTCGTTTCCCATAGAGGCCCATTGTATATCTGGACTATCTCCGGAGCAGACAGTGGGGTAGCTGTACATAAAGAAGCACATAGTTTCTTGTCAGACATTTGTCTATTTAGATGGCATCCAAAGAAGAAAGGAAAAGTAGTATTTGGACACACTGATGGAAGTCTTTCTATTTTTCAACCAGGTAAAATTTACTTGATAACATTATTATTGATCAATGTACAATTTCTGTTATCATTAGGTTTGATAAAACTTTTATAAAAATTTGTTCAGAATATTGTAGTATTCCTGTTCACTACATATGAAAAAATGCATCTGATTAGCTCAAGAAAATGCATACTCTTTTATCTTTGTTTAATCCTATTTGGTTTGCAAATCAACACTGCATCTTTGAAATGTACAGTAAGCTGATTCTTAGGCTGTGATAACAGCCCTCTTTATAATTTTGACCTGCCATGATCCCAACATTTGCTAGAAAGTTCTGATCTTCTTATTTTATGTATTTGGATTGTTATTTGTTAATGTACATAATTCTTTGCCTTTTGGGGGGAAAGGGGGACCATCAATTATGAACAGATCTTGGAGTCTTTCTCCTATTAAAAAATATTAAGCCAAGTAACTGCCTTTTTAATTTTTCTGAAGTGTACCCACTACATTCTTGGATACTTTAAAAATAGAGCAATACAGTATTAATGCACATTCCTTAAAGGAGTATTTGGAATTATCCTTTGGGACTAAGTAGTTAATTTTTGTATACATTCCTCACTGCTTGGTGAGAAAAGATGACTATCTGTGATTACCATTGACTCTGTTGAGGGGTGCCTTGTCCACTCTCCAAAGACGGCAGGGAAAATTTGTTGCAGTCCTTTGGACACCTGTTCAAGATAGACTTTGTGGGTGATAGGCCACCCTGTGTACTGTGACCGGCAATCAGGGAAATATGGCCTAATGGCCACTGAGTCCAAACATTCCCCCTTGCATTTAGGATAACATGGCCTAGCGGCCACAGATTTAGTACACATTATGGCCCAGCATCCTCAGTCCACATGCAATCCCCCTGTATTCAGGGTAGTACAGGCCAGTGGCCACAAAGTCTATACACAGTACAGCTCAGTGGCCTCAGTCACTAAGTAATCAGTATTCAGAGTAGTGCAACCCAGCGGCCACAGAGTTTATACACAGTGCAGCAGAGAAGCCTCAGAGTCCATATACCGTCCATCTGGGATCAGAGTAATACAGCCCAGCAGCTCCAAAGTCCAATATATAATAGACAAAGCTCCCTCACACAGGGGTATCTGAGGAGAGAGGGGCAGGCCCTCCCTCTCCACCAGGTCCCAGCCCAGGGCCCTATCAGCAGTGGAACAGTCCACTACTAAGTTGGCAGGGAGTCCCATTGCAACACACCAAGCTCTTGGGGCACAGTTCCCCACCCTGGGCTACTTCCTACATAGATCTTATAAAAAGTACCCTTTGTCTTCACACTCTGGTCCAGAGGCTTCTACTGCAATCCCTCTTAGCTTGTTACCATGCAGTTCGGCTGTGCTTCTCTTTTGGAGCTCCTGTAGCAGTCAGTCCCTGAGTGTCAGCTCCAGAGGCCTTTATAGCCAGCCTCCAGTGGGAGCATGCCCAGCAGAGCTGTGGGGGTGAGACTTTCTCAGCCAGTTGGGGCAGGTTAATGCCTTCAGCCCCTGTGCCCCCATCACAGTGTCCCTTTGAACAGAAGTAGTTGAAAAGACTCGCACTTCCTGGGCAGCTCCCAGGCAACGGTCCAGTAGGACTGAGATCTGCAAGCCCTTTCAGTTGCTTCTGTTTAAAGGGTTTGCGCCTGTCTAGTGGTTACTAGGTAATGCAGCTATCCAGCAAGCACGAGCCTTTTAAATAGAAGCAGTTGAAAAGGCTCAGGTGTCTTCGGCTCCCAGGCAGCACGCTAGGGCAGGGGTCAGCAGCTTTCAGAGGTGGATTGCTGAGATTTGACTTATTAGCCTCTATTTACGGGTCTGAGTGCCAGAGTGACTTTTTAAAGTCAATAATAGTCCTATTTATAGCAGCTTCATTAATAAATAAATAAAGATGCAGCTCTTACCTTTTAGTGCAGCAGTTGGCAACCTTTTAGAAGTGGCGTACTGAGATTTAACTTATTCACAGATCTGTGTGCCAGGGGAAGGAGAACGGGAGGGGAGGCAAGTTCAGACTGGGTACGGTGACCCTATTTTCTGAACCAGCTGCAGCTAGTGAGAATGGTTTAATTTAAATTATGAAACAGATTAAGTGCTTTAACTTTCTCATGTTAGTTTATCAAAATTCATTTTAAATAAAATAAAATAAAATGTTATGTCCAACACAAAAGTTTTCAATGTTTTCTTTATGGTAGGGGTTGGGAACCCACAGAAAAATCAGTTGGGGATCACACCAGTGAGAAGCAAAAAAACTCCAAAACCCGCCAACACTCACTGATGTGGCCCCATCTGAAACACCTTACTCCTTGTCAGCCGACGGTCAGGGCAGTGTGTACGTGTGTGTTATACACCTGAGACTTCAACTGCTGAGACCGGGGTCCCTTGCGGCGGGCAACCTGGAGGAGGTTGACGGGCACCCCAATAAGTTTACAGGGAGAGCTTATAACACCTCAGATTTTAGCTGCTAGGATGCAGAAATCCCTTCGCAGTGGGCAGCCTGGGGAGGCTGAGAGGTGCCCCAACGGATCTGTCCCCTGGAAGCGACACGATCCAAAACGCCCAAGCTCTCCCTATATCTGTCCCTTATGACCGGCTGAAGTTCTTTTAAAATTGTGCTTGGTTCTGTTACAGCAACTGAAGGAGTCAGGTTAAAGCTTAAACAGTTACTATTTTATTGTTACAGGGTAAACTTAGTTGTTAAATGCTATTACTGTGTTACAGATAACACAGTCACTACAAAGGACAGGACAGAAATTACACTAATAAGTCACTTATAGGTACCATGAAACCCCTTTGGTTCACTGACCTCTTATTAAATGCATGCAAAATAGACACATAGCAGGTATATATTCTCACCCCTGCGTTCCAGACTTGGCGTGGCCAGCGTCTTTCTCTCAATCCCTTGGGAAGAAGTAGGACGAGGTTGGGCGCCCCACAGACCTCGGGAGACAATCAATACCTGCCAGCAGGTATAAATGATTGGAGCTCAAATGGGGTGGGCTACTAAACCCCTCTTTATACCCCTTGGGTCACGTAGGCTTCTTCCTGGTCTCAAGTGGCCAATTAGGAAAAATGGCTTTGAATGCCAAGTTTCCCACAAAGGGTGCAAAGCATAATTCACACCTGGGAAAATGCAGACAATGGGCACCTCTGGTATGTGCTGGGCGAAGATTCCTCTCCTGGGACAGTGCAGGCATGTCAATTACTGGTACTAGCCATCAGGACGACGGGAGGCCCCGGGTCGTCAGCTAGCCCATTTACTGTCTGGTTTCTGTTTATGGTAGAGTCAGGGACAGGCAGCACACCTGCGTTCCCAGGGCACCAAAGGCTGACTGCCTTTCTCTTGCTCTCTGGGGGGTGGGGGAACAAGATGGGGTTCGTGTCCGGCTACACTCCTGTGGTGCCCCAGCCTTACGGGGTGAGAGGAAGGAAAGGGGGGTGGGAGGGACTGAGGTTCAGGGCTTCCCATAGACCAGATTTACTTTTCTGGGGTTCCAGAATTAGTGGATTTTTATGAACCTCCTTAGGCTCTGGGGTAGGGACAAAAATGAAGGGTACAATGTGCCAGACAGGGCTTCCAGCAAGTAGAATAGGGATGGGGTGCAGGATTTGGGAAGAAGATGGGATGCAAAAGGGGAGAAGTTGTGAGATCTGGGTGGGGGTAGGGTGCAGAAGCAGGCTGGGCGTAGGGTGTCCGGCCAGGTGGAGAGAGAAGGAGCAAGGGAGGGTACAGTGTGTAGCAAGGAGAGAGGGTGCAGGAACAACATGCATAAAGGAGCAGAGTGGGGTTTCTGACCAGGAGAGAGGGTGCAGGAACAAGGGAGAGTGTCGGAGCAAGGTGGGGGTGCTAGGTCTTGGGGGGGGGAGGGGCGGAAGTGAGGGGTTTTGCATGGGGGTGTCTGGGCATGAGGGGGACCTTACCTGGCTTTGTGCCCCCTTTCAGCAATGGCTGCAGCCAAGCTGTCCTGGCCACCCTGAAGGGAGGTCCTGCTGCCAGGGCCCATGTGGTCTGTACCTGGCCTTGACCCTGGAGGCCCCACAGGCCACGCTGCCAGTGCTGACACAGTCCAGGGCCACCTTTTAGCTGGATTCTGGTCAATAGCAGCATAGGGAAAGGCTCCAGAGAGCAGGCTGTTGTTCTCCTAGCCTGGGGGGATGGGGAATGCTTCTTCCCCACACAGGGAGGGTCTGTACTTTCTCTCCCTACCCCCACAGCAGG